GACTCATGTATGAATATATTCAAAAAATATATCTAAGACGATTGTTATTTTAAACCGAGGTGCGCGAGAAGGGTGGTTATGAAATCGCACAAGCTCTGCGAACTTTCTCAGCGTTGCTACGTTTATGGTTTTTAACAAAAACACTAATAAAAATATACACGTTTAATTTTTTAACATATTTATTTCTTATTTAAATAAATCTTCAAAATTTTCGAAGTTTCCGAATACTTTAAAATATTCCAATTTTAATTAGGCCCTATTTACAGCAGTCTTATTGTTAATCGCTTCAGCAATACTTTGTAATACTCCAGCTGTTACTTGAGCAGTCTCCACAGATATTTGCTGTGCATTCTCGTAGCTTTTTGAAGTTTCTTGTATGAATAAAAATCTCACTTTTAGTTGTTCCACCAGACTTGATCTTTTTTGATGTAGGTGGCTCTATTTTTACTATTTTTGTGGCCTTTACTTCATTTGAAACTTCTATCATCTGTATTCCATCTACAAATGGTTTAATTAATTATTTTTTTTTAATTACATCCTGGCTACAATACTTACTTTCATTTATTTCAATACCACTTTCGAGTTCATTTTAAATAAGTTAAAGTTAAATAAATGTTAATATTTTTAAGGCAAGTTATTTCTAAAAGTATATTGCGGAAGAAGAGTGAGTGTATTATTTCTATGAAAAATGATGAAGATTTTTATATTTATAGAATGTAATAATTTTTGTGTTGTTTTAAATAAAAATAACTTATTACCTTCCCCTCGTAATTGAGTTATTACCTGTCTATCTGCATACGTTACGGAACTCTTCAGGGTCAAATCTGGATTTCTTAATCCGAATACCAGGAAATCGAATATCGTTGGACGCCTGTATCGATTTCAAATGTTGAGTTCATTCGAGAGATTTAATAAGAGAAAGAATTGATTTGAAAATGCAACAAAGTAAGTATTTATTTTGATAATTTGTATATCAGTTTACCTTTTGTTTAACAAATATCTTAAACCCTTTTTTTATATTAAAGTAAAACAGAATTTTTGATTATTTTAAATGTTAGTGACCAAGCTCAGAGTGGAATCGTTAATCGATATATTACGTATTCGATTCTGAACGTGGCCAATTATTTATCAGCTGACATTATCTAAGGTTAGATATAATATTATTACATAGAGAATTTGAAAGAATTATTTTAAAAATTATTATTAAAACTACAAAAATGGTACGTGTGATAGTTAAAAATTATTACTAAGTTAGATTACAAAAGTTTTTATATACATAGGGCTTTAATTTAGTCTTTGATGGGAATGAAATTAACGGAAAACAAATAGTTCTTGTGTTTGTAATGGAAGAAACACGTTTAGGTAATAATTATCCAAAGCTATGGACATGGAAGTTTAATTAAAATGTTTTTAGTGATACCTTTTCCACACTGTGCGGTGCTAAATATGAATCCATCGCCTAGTTGTTGAAAAAATTTTCAAAATCTTGTGTCGTCTGCAACACCAAACAGGTTTTCATTAATAAAAGTAGAGAGAAACCTTTCCATCGATGAAAAATTGGTACCAAATTGTGGAAGTTCTTTTTTAAAACCACCAGAAAAATCAAAAATGGAGACCCTTTCTTTCTAAAATTGTTGATCCTCTCCTCAGCTCCATAGCAACCAGGAATTCTTTTCACTAATAGCAAGAGCCAACTGCATATCTTTTATCAATTGTCGAAATCAAGGTTATTTTATTAATGTCAAAAAAATCACCTACAGTGTGTTGAAATTTTCCCTCTTATAGAATATTGATCACAATATAACTTTCCAAATGTATGCTAAAATCCTTTTTTGTTCTCGAACAAACGTCCCTGTATCACTAACACTTCTTAAGATTAAATATTTATAAAGTTATTAACAAAATAGTTTACAAAAATACTTAAATTACATTAATCAGAAATTCTGTTTTTTATTATAAAATAACCATTCTTATTGTGTTTTATGATCTAATAATTATTTATCAGTCTCTTCTGGTTTTAATTATATGCTTTTAAACACATGTGTTTATAAGATTAATAAATGTTTAAATTGTTTTAAACGTCAAATTGGAACATCACCCCACATTATTTAATCTGCTGGTTAGAATTATGTCTCTGGGGGCTCATATAGTATCTATACTCGATGTCAGATGTCCCCTTCATAGTTTACAAAAGAAATAATTTAGATTGAAAGTACTAGTCATATAATATCTGGACATGAAGTTAAATAAGGTATGTAGATTTTGAAATTTGAAGATATATTTTTTTTAAGATTGTTAAAATTTTGTAACATTCATGGAAATATCTTATTTTAGTGTTTCTTAACACCTTCCAATAGACATTTTTAAAAAGATTCATAAATTCTTGTTTATTCATGTTGATTTATAATTAAATTATAATTATTTTACTTTAATCGTTCGAATAACTATTTTATTTGTTTTCATATTTTGTCTTGCTAAAAGACTGTTGCAATATATTAATTTTCAATTATAAACACCTACATATATCCCACTAGTTTGGTCAGTGGTTTCTTCGAAGGTAGTAGCGGCACTACTTTGAACTGCAGCAGAGGCACTGGTTTGAGCTAAAACAGAATTTGAGGGTACAGTTGTTTTAAAATATTTGTTTATATATACCTCTTGCACAGAAAGACTGGAATTTCAGGGTCGCCCAAATGAATTTTTCCTAACAAGGAAAGCAATTCTTCCTCTAGTAGTGTTAATTTTAACCCACTATTGGGTCCACCCCCTGTGCCAAGAAAATCCTGATGAATATCTCTGCCCTTCTTCCTGGTATTTTGTTTCCACTCAACCACAGCCTGTATGATAAAAAAAATATTTCAATTGAAGGCTTAAATTAAATAAGTAATATGCTAACTGCCAAAAAATCGATTTTTAATTTTATACTTGTAAAATGTTCTAGGTGCCATATTAACCAACAACATATATGAAGTTCCACGGCTATTAAATTATTTTTTCTTCAAGCGTATAATAATGTTTACATTATATCAAGGTACACGTGTCGTAGAAGTAGCCTATTTTTATACTAATACAAATATTTTTCATTTTTGTACTAATATAAAAAAGCACAAACCTAATGTTAAATGGCTTATTATGAACGTTGCAATAAAGTAGGCTGGAACTGTCATTTGAATACTTATTTAATTTGACGTTTGTCAGTGTATGATTTAGAATATAAAAAAAAATAGTGTTAACCCGTTCGTTATAACTGTCTTTCAAGTAAAAAGAAAACGTCAGAAGAACACCTCCCGAATTGCTAGAAATAGCGAAATCTTCTATAGAAACCTTAATACCTACGAAATCGAAGATTTGTGAAATGGAGTGAAGAAAATTACGTACATTTTTATTCAGAAAAAAGAAGTAGCCATGACAATTTTAAACCCGACAGAATATATTAAGCCTCTCGACAAACCCTCTACTATAACAAGAAATATTGAAGAGGAAAATAATATTACAGAAGATAATGAAATTGTTAATATTGAAAATGACAATCTTGTTGCAAATAATTTTATTAATGACAAAATAATGCAACTTCAAACAAAAACGGGTAACAGTGCCCTAAATATGAATAACGGCACATTACAAAATTGCATATTTAATGTGAATATTGAAAAATAATATCCATTGTTTTTGTTATTTTATATTTTAGATTTAAAATAGTTTTGAAAATTTGGAATTTTGTTTAAAGAGAAAAGAAAATTGTTCCTAATTATTTATTATAAATAAAATTCTGTGTATTTATAATGTTTATTTTTATCTTTTGGGCAGATGGAAATATTTCTATATTGAAACAATTATTTTTATCCATACTTTTATTTAAATGCTTGAAGAAAAAATAGTATATGTCACTCGGATTAGAAGGCCCATTATATGTTTCGCCCAGTTTGCACAGCTTCGGCTAACGCCTCAGCTGTGCAAAATTCTGGGCTCAACATCTAATGTTGGCCTCTACTCCTAGTAATATAATATACTATTATATCCGTAGCACTTAGCGCTTTATATATGTTGTTGGTTAAGACACCTAGGACATTTTACAAGTATAAAATTAAAAATCGATTTTTTGGCACTTAGCACATTACTTATTTAATTTAAGCCTTCAATTAATTCTTTAAATTAATACCTCAGCGTTTTATGATTAACTTACTTGTCGCCATTGCTGCCCAGTTTTTTGTGGGCCATATGCCAAATGTGTCCATAAATTTAAGATAACTTTAAAATCACTGGGTATACTTTTGCCCCCCAACAAAATTTAATTTTTTTTTTTTTTGACAAAATTCAGCAACTCCTGGTATTGCAATTGGCTAGTTTTGTCTAACCTTTTCGTCATTTTTAAATTAAACACCAACAAACCAAAGAATATATAATAAGTTAACATTACCAAACACTTAATTATTTCGAAGACAAACAAAACACAACACAAACGTAAATACACAGAAAATAGAAGGCGATAATAAACTTAACACTATAAAAGAATTATTCTAAAAACAAACAAAACAGAACAACCGTAAATACACAAAAAATAAAAGGCGATAATAAGTTAACTATTTTAACGGTACTTTCTCGCAGTCAAAAAATATGTAGCCAATTTAAGCAAAACAGAATTTTCGTCACTTTTGATCAATCAATATACATTGAAGCCCGTCACATTGTTGCTCAATATGGTAAACAAAGTGATCAGGACACAGGCGATGAGAATGATGATGATGATGATACCGGTGATGGGAATAATGCTGATCGGAAGACCAAACTGAAAATTGACAAAGTTAGGAGGATTTCATCTGCAGATGTCTTTTATGGGCTGCATAGGATATATCATGGGAGGCAGTGGAATAAAAACGATCTTGTTAGAAATTTATGCTCCAAATTCCATCGACAAAATATTAGATGGACATCATTATAGTCGTACTATGCGAGCTTACGTATTGCTGAATGCCGCTGTAGCCAGTAATTTGTTTAAAAAAATGCAATCAAGTAAATATCGTCTAACAGATCCAGAATCGGAATTCATGAATGGAAAGCTGAATTATAATTCAGACACGCTCGGAGAAACCCTGATAAATAGTACATTTATTGGAATACAGAAAAAAATTTGCGACTTTATTGATGAAGTGGAACAACGTGGACCCATTGCAAAACTGTGGGTGCAATTTTTAAAAACCACTACCCTTTTAAAACAGTTTGAGCAAGCAGAAAAGTATGGTGATTGGGCTTTGCATTTACAAACTATTCAAAAAATGATCCCATTCTTTCACGCTGCTGGCCATAATAATTATGCAGAAAGTGCTTACTTATACTTGCAAGATGTTGTATCCCTCGAAAAAGTCTTAAGCCCAGACGAGTATGCAAAATTTATTACATCTGGGTTCTTTACTGTCAGTCAGAAAACCACAGCTGTGATACCTATAGTGACCAAACTATTAAACGAAAACTAATGTAGGGGATAAAAGTCAAAGGCGGGTTTGTGAAAAGAGGAATAACAGAAGCTATAGTTACTGCATGGATAGGGTCTAATGTCGCTTTATTAGACATTATAAACTCTCTGAGTATTATCTACTTCTGAACAGCATCCTGAGGATAGAAACTGATCGAAAACATCTTTTAAAATTAAGTGCATTCTTTGATAGAAACGATAGTAAGGGAAGGGTTACTATTCTTATGTAGTTTCTTTAGATACAGGAGCAATAGGAAACGGTACTATCAATTGTCACTTGGCTCAGGAGATAGGTATATAACTTTTAAGAGGTGTAACAAATAAATATTTCGGTCAGTTGTCTCTGAAGAGAATAACTAAAGTACTTCTAAAGTACTCTCCACGCTTTTAGCGGTTGCGACACAAATTGCGCATTTTATCAAAAAGGAAAAGATACCATTTTTAAATCTGTTGCTGCAGATGAGGACTAAATTAACAGAGCTCTGATCTTTTATCAACGTGAAGTAAATAAAGACGATTTGTGAAAAGTTGCCTTATATACTGTACTGTATACGTGCGAATAAATAATTTTAATGCAATAAGAGTAAAATATTATGCGAATATGAAGAGTGATATTAATATAAGAAGACTTCCATCGACAGACCTGGCAATCTGAGAACATGCTTTACGCGTATATCTCCAGTGTCCGGATTGGTGTTTAAATATATTGAATCCAACTGACTGGGGTTGGAAATCAGTCGGAAATTTTTACTTCAGAACCATTATTACCTGATAAATTTCTAAAAAAGTTTACATGCAGTTGCAAGAGGGATGTACGAAGAAATGTTCTTACAAAAAAGTGGGATTGCGTTGCACCCAATTCTGCAAAGGATGTAAAGGCAGAGACTGCGATAATAGCGAAAACATGTTGACTATCCAAGACTTTGATGAAGACGAAGATTTTGAAGAGGAAATAGAATTAGAACTTGAGCCAGAAATATTGATTCAGGAAACTGAAAATCAATAGGATACGAGCGATTTTTGCGATTCACAGATAAGTTCAGAAGTTGATTGGTCCGAAACAACAACAGAATTTGACGAGGATGAAGAAATTTCTCCATGCAAAATACCAAGACTAGATTTGAATACAACTGAATAGTGATATCTTGTAAGAAGTTTGATACTTGTCATATTTCATATCTATTAATAAAAATATATTCCATTTTTAGTTTTTGTATTTTATATTTCATTTTTCACCAAAATCCACCGGTTAGGAGGGGTGTTTCTGGCATGTGGGGGGGTGTCACACAAATTTTCCAGTCTCGACACCCCGATTTTCAAAATCAGCTCCCAAAAAACATATGAGATGAGTTAGTTTGCAAAACAACAAGTAAAGTCGAAAAATACCCCTAGTTTGGGGTGTTTTTTGCAATATTAGGGGTGGTTCAACCATTGCTGCAAGATTTAACCCCGATTTTCGTAATCAGCGTGCAAAAAAACATATAAGATGGCTTAGTTTGCAAAACAACAAGTACAGTCGAAAAACACCCCTACGTAGGAGTGTTTTTTTTGCAATTTTAGGGGTGTTCCGACCATTCCTGCTAGTTTTAACCCTCATTTTCGTAATCAGCACCCCAAAATACGTAGGGGACAAATGGTCTCGTCAAGTGCGGCGTTTCTCGACCTTTCACCGTTATTTTAAATTGACTATACGATGGGTTTAGTTATTTGCTAACAATTGCCGCCTATTGCAGCAAGGATGTAATGTTCTATAATAGATTTGTTAGTCCAATTATATCTCGTGACAGGTTTTTTAGGTGTGCGTTGTGCGATGTCAACTTGTTGTCAAACGTGAGACCTAGGTACTTCACTTCTGTTGCAGAGTTAGGTTTTGTTTAGGAGTTCTGGAGGTCATTTTTCTTGTAAAAAGGACCATTTCTGTCTTCTAGAAATTTATAGACAGTGAATGGTCTTTGACTACTGTATTATAATTTTGAGAGCTACTTGCATTCTTTTACAGTCATCTTGTGTAGAGACTGTGAATGCATGCTGGTTTAGCTTAAGATTTGTCTTTTTAAAGACTAATGGCATCAATAAATCGAAAGCTGTTAACAAAAGGACCCACTTTTATAAAATAAAGATTTGATATGTCACCGCACAAAGCAATCAACAAAACAATTGAATCTGTGTGTTCTTCCACTACTACTTTGCTTGTTCTTTTACCAAGCTAATGGGTATTTAGAATTTTGGCGTCCGAATCTTGATTAGTTTTTTTTAACTTTAAAATACTGTTCTCTCTAAATGTCTTCCTAAGTAGTTGTAATAATTAAAATTATTTTTTTCATGACCCCTATGGTGACTAATAATTTGCTTTAGGGAGATTGCTTATTGTAAGAAAACCAGTCTCTTCAGCATTTTAAATCCAATCGAAGTTCTACCTCTTTAAAGCAGATTCAAGGTTATCATAAAACATTTTGACACTGGATGGATTAAATGAACTTGTTGGTTTTGGTTGTCTCAGGGACAGTTCAGGATGCTGTTTCATGAAACCATGAAGCCAATCCCGTCCTGCTTGTTTTTTAGCATTCCATGTATCTGGCCTTTCCTTTATATTTTATTTGCGTACTGAAAAGCTAATTGTCTTGTTTGTGCAGTTGTTATTCCGTAAGCCATTTTCGACGCCGTCTTTAGATATTTATTTCTACTTCAGAAAATACCTTTCTGTTGCCAATATTTCGTTTCTATTTAAATCAACGGCCAAATATGATTTTTCTTTATTGAAAGCCTTTGCCACTGATCGTATTGTATTACTTCTTTTACCGCTGCATCAATTTCATATGACGTTTTCTTAGTTCTTTTAACTTTCTGCGTTTCTATTTCCATGCTTGAACCCTAAAATTTTAAGGAAATAAAAACAATAAATTCCTATATACTTCCTTCCCTGTCCGGTCCGTTTCTTAGAAATGTCTACTGTCTCTTTCAAAACACAGTACATCCATGATGAATTTATGTCAATCGTTCCTTCAAAACCTTACATTTTTAGGTAAAATTAATCCAGTTTATTAACAATACTATATACTACAATTATACGCAGTAATAAAACAATATATTGTTATTTACTCACCTCACTATATTTTTCTCCCTAAACTGTACACAACGTTCGTAATTTCTTACTAACAAGTAAGAAACACGTGGTTCATGAATTTTATGGTTAATACATAGTTGTGCCCTTTGATGACCAGTAATTAACTTGTTGAGAAGCAAGCTTTAAATAGTTAGTTACATTCCCCTACATATCGCTCTAGGCATGCTAAAATTTTAAATTATTTCAGGATATAAACAAAATGTGGACCGAGTTCGACCCAAATTGTTTAAAATAAACCATTCACACAAAAATATTTATCTTTATAATTCAAACAAAAAATAATTCATTTGAAATTTTATGGAAATCATTACATGATTTTTCTTTGCTGTTTTATAGCTCGTATTTCAAAAAATTAAACTACTGATATTATAAAAAACCTAACACTATAACATAGTTCGAAATTAAAAATATAGACACCACTAAATATCAATAAAATATTAGATTTTTTAAAAAACTAATGTACGAACCCAAGTAGAATATTTTCTGTCAACTTATTTTCTCATTCCGTGACGTCACTTCGTCTTTAGCAATCGTGATGAGGCCACCGTTTCAGTCTACGGACCATGGATGACTAATATATATTTATGACATAAATCATAATTATTTACAGGGTGTCATAAATTATGGAAAATCGAATTTAATTTTCACTAGCATGAGAATATTCTTCAAATTAAAATCACGCTGAAATAGCCTAGGCATAATTGTAAGTCACTTATTTGATTAATAAATCCTTAAAACTAATTCCATTCCTGCCCACTTTTCGTTAAAACGTTTAATTTTTAAATAATTACGAGACATTTTTAAATGACGAAATCGTATACATTCATGGGCCCGATTCTGGACATTGTAAAAATTACGTTTCTAGAGAAAAATGAGGTAATTTTTCCATATATAGCGCGATCGTTATTCTGGATTTTAAAATAAACCCTTTACACAATAAATGTCTCTTTATAATTAACAAAAAAGCAATTCATTTAAAATTTTATGGAAATCAAGATTTTTTCTTGCTGTTTTGTAGCTTATCTTTCTGTAGTATTCTGATAATGTAAACGATTCGCGGAAGTCAAATATACGACGCCAATACCACGGCATTCGTGTACAGACCTTGGGTGGAATATATTGTGTTAAGACAGCGTTGTGTTTTATTCATTACCCCAACAATATTAAACATTACAAGTGGCGACAGAGGATAAAATTTGTTGATATTATTAACAGTAAGTAAATTATTACATCTACCGTTGAATAATGAAAATATTAAACATTTCATTTAATGAAAATGACTCATTCAGTTAACTTTTTGTTTGAAATTACTTCTGCAAGGAAGAAAGATAAATAAATGGCTTATTACGTGATTCGATAGCGATATAATCGAGGATAGAATTTATTTAATTGCAATTTAGTTATTGATTTAGCAGTTAGGAAACTTAAGCTGAATATCAGGAGTGACTGATAAGTACGGTAAATTAACTCGTGTCGTACTTTAAATCTATTGTTAGGTTTTTAATAAGACTAATCTACTTTTACAAACTTTATATTTTTGTCTTCGTATCTACAATTAACTCTGACAAATCAATGTTCTAAATTCCTGTCCATGATTTACTTTATAGCTAAAAAATATTTACGTAATCGTGACTAACACTTTTCGGTAATTCTGAATAATTGTAAATAATATAGGATGTCCCAATAATAAACCATAGATATAGTATATTCTAGAATATTTGTTATTACTTATCAATAATTTTTATTCAATAAAGTAAATAGCTATAAAAATAATAACCACGCATAACAATAATAACTTACAAACTATATGTTTTTAATAAAAATAATATCCAACTATTAGATAAACTCTAATACTATTTAAATTTTGAAATGTGAATCTTGGAAATAGTGTATATAGATATCTAAATAGTTTACCAT